GGAGATGGCCGTGGACTTCAAATGGAACAAACACATCTACACCTCCCACCTCACACCCCCACCCCAAACATAGGAGAATCTGTGGTGGAGGTGGTCTCCAGCCACAAGTATTTGATTGTGCACCTGAATGACAACCTCAGCTGGGGCAACAACACTACTAGTCTGATCAAGAAAGCTCATCAGAGACTATACTTCCTCAGACGGCTGAGACGAGCTGGTCTGGGAAGCTCGGTCCTCACCTCCTTCTACAAGTGTGCAGTGGAGAGCATCCTGTGCTCCAGCATCGGCATGTAGCATGGAGGCTGCACAGCTGCAGAAAGAAAAGCTTTGCAGAGAGTGGTTCACAGAAGACTGTTGGAGTCAGCCTTGTAGTATGCTAAAAGGCTAGGTTAGCTTCGAGCTCCACTACAGTCATATTTTAATAACGGGTTATCTCTTTTTCAAGCTACTTGACAGATATGTGACAGAGGTACTGTGTTGTCGATGGTTTAATCAGTGACATGAGACGTTAATTTTCTTTGACCCATCAAAATAAATGTGGTCATTTATTAACAGAATCAAAATTTAACATCAAAACATTGTACACTTGATTAGACTGATCGGCTCTGATTAATAAAACTTGGCACATTTTACTTAATAAAAACAACAGACATTTCTGAAGATATCTGGATTAATTACTGGCAAGATAGAAGAGTTTTAAGATGGGAAATGAAGGAGTTTAAATGTAGAGAAAATGTGGAGGAAGATGTAAGTCTGTAGACCAGAACAACACGCTCCTTTCAAACACAGCTCGACGTGGTACACTTGTAGTGAAGCCAGTGACGACTCTTTACCTTTGCGGAGAATGGGTCAGCTGCGGTCAAGAGGTCCCTGGCACGCTACCTTTCAGCGTCTCAGGGTGGCTGCAACTCGGCAGAAGTCGTGAGATAATCCGTTCCACAGAACAAACTTCCTCAGCAGTTATAGGGCATTCGCTGGGTGGAGCCACAGCGAGGCGTCGTGACCCCGGCAGAGATGGATGACTCCATCAGCCTGGAAAACTGAGTCCGAAGTTCCACTCAGCAGTGGAAAAACTCCAGAACTACTCCACAGTACTCCGAGACTCAGAAGAACTTCAGAAGAACTCCAGCCGAACTCCAACAGAACCAGAAGAACTAACGGAACTCAGAAGTGTCGACTTTTAAAGAGTTCTGCTTCTGGTCACTTTTAGGAAGTCCTGATTGGTTGAAGGAACCAACAGGGGTGTGGTTTTAGTGACGTCAAAGGGTTATTACAAGTCGAGAAAACATCAGAAATGTTTAGGAACGGTTAATTAAAGACGAGAAAATATTTTGGAGAAATGACAGACTTACAGGTGCCAGTTCTCTTGTTTCTGTCTGAGAGGTTTAAAAACACGACAGCTCGTTCCAACAACTTGTTTCTTGACTGTCTCCGACTTTTGACCGACATCACTCTTCTCATTTCAGACAGAAGATCAAAAATGCATAATTACTTTGTAAAATAGACATTTAACTTGATTTCTACTTTGAATGAGGATTAAAAAATCATTAATACTGTTTCACAGTTGATTTAAAATGAGTGGTTCACTTCAACATTTAAAAATGGTATGAACTAAACACACTTTTGATTTATCAAGATATTGTAAAATAGTAATGATAATATGAAAAAGAGAGTGTTCTTTCAATTGATTAGTTCAGGATACAATTAGAAAGTCTCTGGATGAGCTCATTTGTATTTCTGGATTCAAATCAATGAAATAACAGTTCCTGTCCCATGAAGGTCTTCAGAGACAGGTTTTTGATTGGAGGCCTAGTTCACTACAGCCTCCCCACCATCACAAACATCTACACCTCTATCATCATCCACCTGCATCATGAAGGACCTCACTCACCCAGATCACACTTTTTGCCCCGTTCACCTCAGGCAGGAGGTTGAAGAGCATAAAGTGTAGAACCACTAGACTGAGGAACAGCTTCTACCCTGCAGATGTTCCTCATAAATCCCTAACCAGGATTGTCACTGTGAGAAAAAAAAAATCACTGTAATGCCACTTGATTGTTGATATGTGCAGCTGACTATCCATGTTGCTGATCTCATGCTGCTGATTTATTTCATGCTGCTGTGTTCATCCGTACTCATCTGCTCACACAGACTCATGTTCGTACTGCTGTTGTTCAGCGTATTGTTTTTGTACTATTAGTGCTTAGCGTATTCTTAGTTTAGTGTATTCCTTAGTTCATATCTTAGATCTTATTGTTTTTCTTTACAATTTATACATTTGTTGGATGTAACTGGGACCCTGTGTACACAATTTTGTTCCATCACATGTAAAACATGTGGTGCAAATGACAAAAATAAATTTTGACTTTACTTTGACTTTTGACTGTGTGTGTGTGTGGGTGGTGGGGTGTGGGTGTGTGTTGGAGTTATCATTTCTAACCCGGGCCCAAAGCCCGGCCCTGCCCGACCCAAATTCCGGGCAGGTCGGGCCATAATAATGTGCTGGATGGGTGGGCCGGGTTGGTGTTTGGGTTTCTGATTGCATCAGCGGACCAGCCACAATCCAATTATATGGCAACATGGCTTGCTATATGTACCATGCATGAGGCCATTTCACCGTGAGCTGACTGGCTTTGAAAGAGGTAAAAAGTTCAGTTAAGCTTCAGATGGGATTACACTGCCAGGAAGCGATCCATAACCAAAATGGACGTTCATTCAGCGTTGTACTCAGCAAATGCGCGTGGCCGATGGCCCAAACTGGAGAGATCCCAAAACAGACGTGTCAGAGAGGGATTTAATGTGCTTTGACGGCCATGAAAGGACAAACGCCACCCCAGCTACCATCTTCTGCTCCTTTTAATCAGCCGCGCTTGTCCGCCGACCATTAATAACTAAATAAGCAGTCAAAGCTTAATTAAAAATGTCGGGGGGGGGGTTGGGTTGGGATCTGTAATTACTGTTAATTCGTTGGGTCGGGTGGGGTTCGGAAATGATGGTTATGGGCTTGGGCCAGGTCAGATCGAATTTTTTGGGCCCAATGCAACTCTAGTGTGTGAGTAAGTAAACTTTATTTATATAGCACAACAGTAAGAACAGCTGATAAAAACAGCAAGTAAAACATTTAACTAAAAGCTTGTCAGAATAAAAATGTCCTAAACTGCTTTTTAAAGGAATCAACAGAAACGACCACACGAAGAGAAAGGGGCAGGACATTCCACATTCTAGGTGCTACGGCCTGAAAGGATAGGTCACACCGAGTTTTAAACCGGGTCTTAGGGACCTTTAGGAGGTTCAATGCTGAAGACCAAAGGGTGCGGGCTGAAGAATAAGGGATCGACATTTCAGTGATGTACTGGGGGGCCTGTCCATTTAAAGCTCTAAATGTCAAGACTAAAGTTTTAAAATTAATTCTAAATTAGATAAGTAGCCAGTGAAGAGAAGATAGAACTGGTGTAATGTGTGATCTTCTATTAGTTCCTGTTAAAAACCTCGCAGCAGCTTTCTGGACAAACTGGAGACAAGCAACAGCAGATTTCTCCTGATGCATGCTCAATAACAGCAGATTTATTTAAACAAGTAAAAAGGGATTTAACAATAATCTACAAGAGAAGAGATAAAAACATGAATAATCATCTCCAGATCAAATTTGGATAACATTGCCTTTAATTTAGAAATATTTCTCAGATGATAAAAGCTTTTTTATTTTATTTTAGCAGAAGCTTTGAATGTTTTTCCAACGACATTGACTGGTCGAACAGAACACCAAGGTGTCTGAGGCTCAGCTGAGAAGAGGAGCCCAGAGAACCCAGGTGTTGCTTGATCTAATTAACTTTCTGTTCAGAAGCAATGATCAGGGTTTCAGTCTAGCTAGAATTTAACTGAAGGCAGTTGTTAGCTAGCCACGCCTTAATATGGGAAACACAATTTACTAATTCAGCTAACTTGTTTAATTCTGAATCATTGAAGGAACATGCTGGTGAAGATTTCCAGGACATGGTAAATTCAGAAAAGTTCAATACAAAAACAACTGGACTTTATTTGTAACAGAAGACATTTCACTTCTCATCCGAGGAGCTCTCTCAAATTGTCTCAATTTCAATTGAGAAAGCTCATCGGATGAGAAACGAAAAGTCTTCTGTTACAAATAAAGTCCAGTTGTTTTTGTATTGAACTTTTCTGAACATAGAAGGAACAGTACAGTTGAATGTCAACAGCATAGAAATGGTAAGACACATTACTGAAGATACTGATAATTGTTCCAAGGGGCTGATGTATAGAAGGAACAGAATAGGACCTAAGACTGAACCCTGAAGAACACCATACAATAACGGAGTGGTCTTAGACAGTGTGTTATTCACAAACATTGAAAAGGTTCTGTTGCTCAGATAATAGGAAAACCACTTGAGAACAGTTCCAGAAATTTCTATCTCATTTTGCAGTCGATATAGCAGAATTTTGTGGTTGACTGTATCAAAGTCTGATGACAGAGCCAATAAAATCAGTGCACTGCTCTGATCAGAGTCTGCAGCCATGAATAAGTCATTAGAGACTTTTAACAAGGCAGTTTCGGAAGAGTGCATCTTGCACAAATCAGACTGGAACTTATCTAGAATATTATTACTTTGCAAAAAAGTAGTCAACTACCCAGCCACTAACTTCTCCAGAATTTTGACAAGAAAAGGCAGTTTTGATATTGGCCTGTAAATGCAGAGCTCAGTGGGGTCCAAGTTGGACTTTTTTAAGATAGGACTTAAAACTGTTTCAAAAAACATGGAGCTGACCCGGATGAAAGAGAGACGTCAATTAATTCAGCAACATATGGGTGTGTGTGTGTGTGTGTGTGTGTGTGTGTGTACGTGCGTGTGTGTGTGTGTGTGTGTGTGTGTACGTGCGGGTGTGTGTGTGTATGTATATATATATATATATATATATATATATATATATATACATATAGTGTAATATAATGATAACAAATACATTAAAAGCCTGCGTCCTCTCACCATCATTGAGGTCTTGCAGCAGGTTCTCCTGACCAGAAAAGTCCAGCTTGACTCTGATGCTGATGGTCAGAGTCACGGTGTGGCCTGGCTTCAGAGGCAGGTGGCCAAGCGTTTCCTCTAGGTCCCAGCTCAGAAAGTTACCAAACACTTTTTCTACAACAACAAGACAGATAAAAATAAGGTTTAAACTTTAAAAAACATTCAAACATCTTACACAAAAAGGAAGAAGCAGATAAAGATAATGGATGGACGGATGAACATTTGAAAGTATGATGCCCAACTTATCAATTACAGTGTTGTGTATAAACATTTGGGGTGTGTTGTTCAAGCCAAGAGCCATTGTCAGTACAGGAGGCCCCAACGGTCAGATTCTAGAATCACCCTTGTTAAGACCTGTTCTTTAAAAGTGTTAATACAGTTTTTATACTTTTAAACATGGGGTATTTTTCATTCAAGACACAATTAATAAAATTTTTAGTTTCAACTTCCAAAAAATTACAATTTTGAAAAAATTAACAGTATCAAAAAGCACTTTAAAACTTTACCTATTCACATAATGAACATAAATGTATTGACACTTGTTAAAAAATTATTACAGAAAACTCTGCATAAAATTGAACAGTGTCATAAACAAGTAACAGAGCTTAAATTTGTAAACCTATCAATGCTGGAATGCAAAAAGCTGACAGGCCAGTGGGGAAGCAATGTGGGTGTCTGGGGGTCCTCCCCCAGAATACTTTGAATAAAGTAGATGTGATTTCTTGTATTTTTGGTGTATTTTAATGGGTTGTTAAACATCTACATGCTTGTAAAAAAAATATACTTTTTTTGCGGACCCCCAAGCACCAGCTTGCAGACTCCTGGGGTCCAGGGACCCTAGTTTGAGAACCAGTGATTTGGTTGATAACTGACATTGTGTTCACACCTGTTGTGAAGGCAAGAGATAGCATAAATAACAAAAAAGCTCTCCACAGAGACAGAAACAAAGTTGTGGGGAAAAGATCACAGTTAGAATATGAAAAATAATATCTTAGAACTCTAAACATCCCACAGTACTCTATTAAATCTATTATTATGAAATAAATATATGATGGTGCCACATCAAACCTGCCAATGCTGAAAACAAGTGGTACGCCAATGTCCACCATCACTGACGGATTTGCAAAGTGGATGACTCTAGTTTTCTTTTGGAGTGTTTGTCTTGACATGAACTGAACAAAAAATGCAAGTAAGCCTTGATGTTTCTGGTGCACAACATTCAAGTGGGTAGGAGTTAAACTGTGGAGAGAAACAGAGATTTTTTTATGTTTTGCTTGTCCACGGCAGCGCACAGTGACGGAGCCTTATCAGTGGAGGAACAAATATATATATATATATATATATATATATATATATATATATATA